AACTACACAGCTAACTAAACACGTTTACTATTTAACGAACTGACCACATCAGCATCTGAGCTGTTGCCAGCTCATAAGTGCCACATTAGCATAATCTATGACTACTCTTAACATCCCCCGTCAAGCTCAACTGGGGAAGGACCAAGGCTGAGATGGAAACAGTGTTTTCGAAATATGGGACTGTGAATACCTTTGGTAAGAATGTCAGCAATTTGTTCATCGGTGGGAACACATTGCACACTAAGATCTTTACATTGAACTCACTCCATGATGAAATGAAAATCAACATCCATGATAAGCAATTTGTTTATCTTTTTGTTTGGATTGGATGCCGAGTTTAATCAAGTTCAAGGAGAAATTTTGAGGTAGGATCCTGTACTTGGGCTCCAAGAATCCTATGCTTATGTTCGCCGTGAGGCAGACAGAAAAGAAGCCATAAAAAGCGAGATTGACTAGTCAAAAGCAGCGGCCATGGTGACACGCCGTCCCACTCAGAACATGAGGCTAAACTCTAGATTGTGCCCCTCTAAAAAGAGTGCTGCTATTTCCACCCACCGGTCATATTTTCCCATCCATCTTATCTTTAAACTTTTAAAGACAAATTTAACCCTATTGTAAAATGACTTAAAAGGACTTAAGGAAAAAGAAAGAGAAAATAAATAATAATAAAAATACGTAGACTTCTCAAGTTCTCACGTAACCCTATCGTTTGACAGAAAGAAAAAAACACAAGAATACGACTCCTTGCTCATGAGAAGGTGAAGAAGGCTTTTCAGTGCTCAGAACTCAATTCTAAAATAATTTTCTTCTCTTTTCTATTTATTCAATCAAATTGTTTATGAAGAAGAAAACAACAAGAGAATGGATGTTGAAGAGAACGATTTTGGCGAAAAGGTAAGGTAATCCAATTTGAACAGAATTTCTAAGATCTTTAGGATTACTTAAAGCATTGGGAGATGAGTATTTCTTGGACTCTGATTTTTTTTCTTAAACAAATTAAAAATCTGAAAACTTGGGGATGAATCAACAATTCTACAATTGGGCTCTATTGATTACCAGGGCCGGCCCTGGGGGTAGGCAAGAAGGGCCTTGGCCATGGGCCTCCAATGAAGGGGGCCCCAAAAATTTTTATATTATATATATATTTTATTGTCCAACTAAAAATTAAATTTTAAAAAAAAAAAAACAGAAAGTCAGCGTTGTAATTGAACGAGGAAGGCTCTTCCTCTTCCCATTCAGAAACTCTTTGTTTCCTACGCCACACAGCCAGCCAAGAGCAACAGCCCCTTTCCTAATTATTTCTCCATGGAGCTCTATTTAATCCATCGATCTCTTAATAATCCACCATTATATTTTTCTCTGTTATTCCCATCTCCCTTCAATCCATTATCCATATCCTTTATTTTCAGTTTCTATCATCTTTCTCATATCAGATTCATATTATAACCCTAAGTTTCAATCTCACCCAAAAAGCTCACAAATTGTCTTTGAGATTGATGGTGACCAAGAGGGGAGGAGCATGAGAAACTGAAAAGGTAATCAGATTTATAATTTTTTCTTTATATTTGTTCCTACCCAGCAAACTATTGTTTCAATTCAATTTCCAATAGGAACAAAACACAGAGAGATACAGAGTGGTAATCAGATTATTGTTCAGATTTTATTCTTGTCTAACTTGTTTTTTGTCTCTACGAAACTCCGCAAAGGATAATTATAGATTCATACTGGCACTCTAATTTGACTTTTCTAGATATCAAGCCGCTAACTTACAGCATACAGCTAGCT